ACCCTCCCTCCTTCTCTCTCTCTGCTCTTGCTTTCCCCCACCCCATAGAATCTGGATTTTTAGAATTTGGATTTTTAACTCTTATGAGTATTTCAAGTAGAAATAGTTCCCAAACACACCTGTGGAGGCATAGCAACATGAAAAAAGCTATAAATTAAGCCACTGATTACAGATTATCTTATAAGCAAAAAGAAATTGTTTCTAAAATATGTATTCAACGTAATTATTTTATCTATTATGATTTCTAGAACTATTTTTATTCCTGTTTTTTTAAAACACTTAACTGCATAAAATTAATTTGCAATTAAACATTTAACGTCAATAGTTTATAAGCATCTCATTATTATCATGAACTATATACCTCTAGGTGTTACAGTTTACTTCAGCAGACATCCACAGTTTTTCAATGATGCATTCAACCATAAAATAATACATTCAGATCACTACAATATGCTATGGTTTCTTGTTGTTCAGAAGAGAATCATCAATTCTAGAGTATCAAATTCAGATATTTAAAATATCCTTACTTATAAAAATTTGCCCCTAAAATACCAAGGCCAATCAGAGAGGCCATTAAAGAATGCAAATCTTGACAGATTTGCACTAGTAATCGGACAGAATATCCAGGAATAATTTAATGTGACATGTTATCTGTATTTATATGTTGTGCATTACATGTGTATTATATAACATCTCACTTCAGCACTTATTTAAATCACTGTGTAACAAGGACTTTATTTTCCCAGCAAAAATACAGGGGTCAAGGGCTTCCTTTAAAGACACACATTTCTAGATCACTCTGGAGAATAGATTCAAATGCTGTTTTTAGAAAATGATCATGGAACCACTTGAGAAATCTATTAAAATGCAGATTTCTAGGCCCCCCTGCCAGACCAATGGTAACACAATCTCTGGATGTGGGGTTAGAAATCTGCTCTTTTTAAAAAAAAGTTCCATAAAAGTTTGAGAATCATTGCTCTAATGCACTAAATAGAATATTAATGGACTAAAAAGTTAATTGGGTAAACAAGGAAGGCTCTGATTTTATTTTACAATTCAGTCTAAGAAACTGCAAATAAAGATCCATGATCAAATTCCAGGAGTCCATTAGCATTTATTTTATCTGAAACAATCAGTTTGGTAAATGGTTCCACAGTTCTAGTAACCTAAGTTGCTATTTGGATTAACTCAAATTATCTAGGAAGTTTATCTGAGAGTGTTACTTCAGGCATATTATAAAGTTGTTTCTATAACATAACCAAATGGCTAGACCCAATTCTGGTGTAATCAGTCTCCCACATCAAGGATTTGAAATGAAATAGTCTGCTGAGGCAGCAACTAACCTTTCAGCTTAATAGTGGAAAAACTGCCAACAGCAATTTGCTCATTATATCAAGATTCCCACCGTGTCTATGGACATTTAGAAGCCAAATATGATTCAACTAAAAGAGAAAGTTTGGAGTAGTTTCTGATCTTCTTTCATACTGAATATATAGATTTAGTAGCCATTAAACTACTTTAATAATACACTTCTTTTCAGCTATCTGAATATTTAGCCTATATAGACTCAATTCAAAACTGACTTGCCATTTGTATATTTTCAATAAGTACACGTTTGTGTGTATGTGTGTGTGTAAGACAAAAATGTAAAAACAACTCTGCTTAAATTTCAATAAAATTTCACCAAGGTGAGAGACATTTGAAAGCCTTATAATAATAAATTATTAAATTTAATTAAAAAATAAAAAGTACAAAAAGCGAGACCCCCATCTCTACTAAAAATAGAAAAAAACTAAGTCAAGAGGAACACTTGAGCCGAGTTGAAGGTTGCTATGAGCTATGACACCATGACAGTCTACCCAGGGTGACAGCTTGAGACTCTATTTCAAAAAAATAAAATAGATAAAAAGTAAATTAGCTATATGTGCAACCATACAGTATTTAAATTAGGAAGAAATTTTTTTGAATCAATTATTAATTTGATTTTTTAAAAAATTCACATAAAAGATTAGAGAATTTAAAGCTGGCAAATCATCCAAAGATCATTTTTATATTCCCTTTATACAGACATCTTCAACTAGTAGAGTCAGCTGTGATTGTACCGAAGTCACCTCCTTGCCAGTGATGTTTAGTTTCCAGTTTAATCAGTGTAAGTACACTGAAGATCCCCAAGCAGTTTAACATTCAAAATTGTGATTGCTTGAGTGGATCTTCTCCTTCTCAGCCAACTTAGGGAGACAGAGATCAATGGAGAAAGACAGAAAGAGACCGTGATCCAGAAGTCACCATCAGCACAATACCTTGCACCGTGAGGAACACTGATGCAGCTGCGGAGCCACCTTCACTGGAAACCCTGCAGTGATATTCTCCGGCATCGCTGAATTTCACACCCCTTATCTCCAATGAGAGGTTAGCCAAGGTCCGAATTCTTGCTGGCTCTGTCAGTCTGACATCTCTGTCATTCCTCTGCCAGGTTTGATTGTAATCTGCAGCACTGATGACAAGACATGTCAAAACTGCTCTCTCTCCAGGAGTGACTGTAACATTGTTAGGCACTTGGATGACTGGGGGAGGCTCTGTGTGAAAACAAAAGATGCAAATCAAGAGATGTCAAAACCATTTAGCTCACTTACAGATGTAGTTTAAAAACTGAATAGGCTACGAGGCGCAAGGACACGCAGAGTGGTATAATGGAAACTGGATGGAGACTTAAAAGGACAGACAGTAGGGGGTGAGGAATGAAAATTACCTGTTGGGTACATCATACACTATTCAGGTGACAGGCATAGTTAAAAGCCCAGACTTCACTACTACACTATATATCCATGCAGTGGAATTCAACTTGTACCCTCCTAAATCAGATGAAAATTTAAAAAACTGAACGAGTTTATAGGGAATATCTAGTAGGAATGATGCATTACAACAGAACTTATTGATTAATCCATATGTCTGGGAACCCCTCCAAATTATCATCTAGTTAAAGGATGCTTTAAAAAGCAGTGCACGTGTATATACCAAAGTGTGAGTCTAAATCCACAAATTATAGACGTGAGAGTTGAAGAGGTATGGAACTGATTCAAGAATGCAGAATGAGGCAAACTTTTTATTGCAGTGTAGATGAAGGTAGCATTTATGGATGGCTAAATTTAAAAAATATATATGTCTAGGATTTTAAAGAAAACAGGATAGAAAGAATAGTTTACATAGGAAGGACAGTATCAGGTTTAAGGGGGATTTAAAAAAGAATCCTAATTCAGAATACACAGGACAACAGTACAGTCAGACAAATGATATCCTAGCATGGATGGGGGAAGAGTCTGATCTAAAAAGGCCATGTGAACAGTAGGGATAGACCATTAATAAAAATCGAACACACAAAGCCCTGTGTACAAAAGGCATTGAGTACTGCATGCACATTTCAAATGTGGTCAAAAGCCATTTACTAATTAAATATTTAACCAACATTTCTACAGAGACACAGTGCTCTAGTTAGTTTTAAGAGTGAGTCTAACTTCCCTCTGTACAGCTCACTCTGCCCAAATGCTTTAAAATGATCTCCCATGGTAAGCCATTTTAAATAAAAACTAAGGTGATCTATGTTAGTTGGGAATCCAAGTGTCTGTTTTAGTTTAAATAAGAGAGAGTGTCAGATATTCCAGCTCGAACTTTCTCCCTGTGTTATTTAAAAGCACACATAATGCACATCAATATCAGAAACCCAGAATGTAGACTGGAGGCAAATAGGCCAAAGCCATGCTGGTATCTCCCGGTGATAGAAATGGGTGCATCTGCCATATCTTCTGTTATATTTATCCCCATTTTCTAAACTTTTTATAAGTAGTATATGCTATTTTAAATTGTAAAGAGATAAACACAATTCTTTGTTATTCTGTTATGTTTTTAAAATCTCATATGAAAATAGCTGGTGAATCCAATGGAAATGGTAGATGACTAAGTTAGGAAGCTTTGATTGGACTCTGGCTGGAGTTGACAGATAAAATATAGAGCATTTTCTTAAATTTGAATTTCAAAGAAACATCAAATAACATTTTAGCATGCCTCATGCGCTATTTGGGACATACTTACACGAGGTTCTAATTTAACTAGGCATCCTGTGTTTTTACTTGCTGAATCTGGCACTTAGAGGAAGCCTTGCTCTACCTCTACCTAGCTGTGTGACTTTACAGAAGCCAATTTACTAAAAGTTTTGTTTCTCTATATGAAAAGTGAGCTGATTGAATTATTTTAAGGATCCTTTCCAGCTCTAATGTCCTGAGTTAACATGCTGAAAGTTAGGCCCCCTTCCCAGTGCAGCCCACATCTGACCACCACTTAATGAGGACAAAACACCCAGCTCTCCTGCCTCAATTTAGAGCTGTCTCAGATCCAGAGCTCCCTGTAGGGTCAGCTGAGGCCCTTTTTTCAAAAGCAGCACAGTTCATCTCCTGTTTTCCTCACTCCCTTCCAGTTGCTTTTCCTTGGAGAACTCCCCCCAAATCCTCTTGCAAGCAAGACTCTGCCTCAGAGTCTATTTCCTTTCCAAAAATAAGTTCAAATAAGTAAAACGCCTACTTTCTAATAACACACATGGACAGAGGAGATTTGAAATAATAGCATGTAATACCATCATTGCAAAAATATCTTGAGATAATGATTACTGAAATATTTATAAATACATGAATAAATCTGATATGGCTAAGGAAGCAATGAGGGAGAATCATAGCAGTTAGTGAAGAAGCCCAAGGGCATAAAAGGCAGCTATTTCTAAGTGAAATAAAGCATGGCTGAGGCTAGGATTAGGGTACCAGAGAAAGAACCTCGATACTAAGGGAGGAAAGCAATAAGATGCATAGGCTTGGGGACATTAAGTAAAGACCACTACACTGAGACTCAAGAGGCCAGGAATCTGCTTCTTTCTGCCTACCCATCTCATCATAAATAGGTCATGTGCTTGCCCTGGGCTTCTGTTTCTTTAGCTACAAAATGAGGAGACTGTGGATGATTATTTCCACATCTTATCCTGTTCTAAAAGAACAACCTGTAATTATAGTTTAAGATTTCCTGACACTAACGTGGCCCTGACAAGTTTTCTCTATTTAGAATTTTACTTAAACCCAGAATTGTAGTACTCCGTGTATGTGTGTGTGTGTGTGTGCCTGCACATACGAGCACGTATTTGAGGAATACGACATTCCATTAATAAAGAAATTCATCTTCATTCGGAAAAGTACAATAACTTTGCAATACTACACTACCAAATATCATTTGGAAAGAATGAGTTTTCATGCTTCTACAGTTTTAGTCATTAGTTTCTATGTACTTTATTTAATAAAAGCACAATGCTATCTATATCCATTTTGCATTTAAAACAATCAATAACCAACAATTCAAATGAACCAAACTTCTCGAACATGTCAACTAGAAGAAAAGGCTAAAAAAAGAAAAAGTGGGATAAGATGTTGGTAGAACTTTAGCTTTTCCTTGAATGACTGCTCTTGGGTGCTCTTCATAAAATAAAACAGTGTCTATAAGGACACAAGAATGGTGATATTCTTATAATGCCTTGTTTCCTAACACTCCTTTACAAAATATAGGCTTTATAATTATCCTGTGATTCCAGTGTGCTGATAAGCAGTCACAGTAGAGTGGACACTCTGGACCTCAGCCTAGGATAAGGGAAATCTGGAAGTGGTGGGGGTTAAAGTCTGGTCCTAGCCCAGAGAAAGATGGCTACCATCAAGTCCAAAGGTGCATTTGCTTATGACTTCTGCCGTCCTGGTCATTGCCATTACCAGCAATGCTTCTGCTCCTCTATTTCCTATATGACTAAGTAGGAAACAATCCCTGAAAATCTGCTTGGGCACAGTAAATTTCCTATTTATTTCACTGCCTAGCTGGCACAGACCAACACTAAAAGAATGCATGTAGGATACACACATAGATGTCCCTGACTCCATAGAGCCAAGTTCAGAAGAGTTCACAAGTTCTTCCTGGCACTTCACAGTTATTTATGTAAAATGTTTGAGTCAACTCACTCAAACGTCTTTCCCTGTTGTCCTCTTAATTAATATTTCTGGGAAAAAAATATTGAAGTGCTCTAGTGTTTGTTTTCCCAGAAGCTGAGGAATGTTGATGCAATTCCAGTGCTTTTCATAATTGCTGGAGATGAAAAAGGAATCGTGTGTGATGTACGTAAACTTGCTAAATTATTTTAGAAGATGAACTTTATTTTTCTAACAATAACAGAATACAAATAGTTGTACTGCAAGAGGAATGCTTCTCTGACTTACATGCCTCTGCCTTAAAATTTACCTTGAACTTACTAATAGCAAACATAACCATTCTTAGGTTTCTAAACAGTTCTATGATTATAAAGTTTCCTTTGTCTTAAACGGTCTCAAGAAAATATACATTAATACTAAAAAAAATTGTTATAAATTCATTAGTATGATATTTAGGTCAAAATACATTAAACACACAGCAACACTAGTCCAGAAGACAGGAAGAAAATAATTCAGTCAAAATAATGTTTGCAATAAATTGTATATAAATACTGAGTAAGTGGCTTAATCTTGATCATTGATTATACATGGTAGTGCTTTTTTTGCTCCTAAGAATTCTGTGAGATTAGAGGAAAAATTATTTTTTTCCTATCAATACATTTTACCTTGTAAAATAATATAAACCTTGCCTCCCATGTATTCATAGGAAACATACTATTTGAATATAAAATAATGGCACTACTTCTGCCCTTGGTAAGGCCAATCTTGTAGCCACTGAGGCCTTCTATTCCTTGAATGTGATCACTTTCTTGATTGTCTTCCGTTTAGATGTCAGAATCCGTAGAGGTGTGTCTTGCAAGGGTCTAAGTGAATCTTTCTAAAACTAGAGTATAAATGTCTTAACACAATAACTAAGTAAATGACATAAAGTCTATGCTAACCAGTTTGATGAAAATATTTCAAATTGTATATGAAAACACTACACTGTACCCCATGTTTGCATTAATGTACATAGCTTTCATTTAATAAAAAAAAACAATGGATGTCAGAATCTCTTCGTATGGGATTCTGGGATATGGAAGAGGGAGGCAAAGTTTAATCTTGTTATTATCAGAATAGTTTCTGTCCTTAAGATTTATTTTCTCAAGAGAAAATGCTTTATGACTATTTCAAAAAATATTTGTTAATGGGTGACAATGATGATAAGATAATAATAGTAACAGTAACAGTCATAATAAGAATGTCTATTAAGTGCTTCAGTGTTCCGGGCTACCTTCTAAGGATGTTATACATATATAACATCTATCTCTAAATCCTCACAGATTCTCCAGGCATTGAGATAGAGACTGGCATTGTTATCATCCTCTTTGTATAGTGAGAGAAACCACGGCACTGAAGTCCTTAAATAATTGGCCCAAGGAGGTCACGTAGTTGATATGGGGTGAAGCAAGTAGAGATCACAATTCGGTGGAAAGAGAGAGGATGATAAAACAATCATAAAGATAAATTCATAAATACAAATTGCCTAGCAAACATCCTATTTCCATAGCCACATTAATACTCAGGCGACTGCAAAAGAATGAGAGAGAATTACCTGATACATCAAAAAATGTCTGTGCCTGCCCAGTCCCCACGCTGCTGACAGCGACGCACTCGTAGGAGCCTTCATCAGACAAAGTGACCTTTTCAATATCCCAGTTCACAGTGGCAGATTCTCTAGAAGTCAGAAAATAGAAATCTTTTGGTTACTGTAAAACCAAGACCGAGATGAAAGCCATGATCCCACCATTTGTTTTGAAGGGTTCATCCAAAACAACAATATAAAGAAAAAAATTGATAAAACTGCAGAGTTGTTTTTAACTTACGATTACACACATAAGCTAGAAAGGTAAGCTTTTCTTCCCTGAGCAAAATTGACCCAACGAAGACAAGAAATATGAAGACTGCAAATTTCCTTAGGGAAACATTTTTCAGCCATATCAATATATTAGATAATAGAGCTGACAAAGGAACAGGCATTATATCCTCTCTCCTTCCCCACTCCTTTCCAATTTTGGGTCATGTCAGTGGGGATCTTGGCAAAAGCACTTCAGTCAGGTAATTTATACGGTAGAAGGTAGGAAATCTACTTTTTGATTCTAAAATAATAAGGTCTCAAGTTCCTTTTTTAATATATATTTTTTTGAATTTTGTATCTAATTGTTTTAGTTTGAAGGGTTTTTGTTTTGTTTTGTATTTTTGGAGACAGAGTCTCACTTTGTCAACCTCGATAGAGTGCTAGAGCATCACAGCTCACAGCAACTTCAAAATCTTGGGCTTCCATTTTCTTGCCTCAGCCTTCAAAGTAGCTGGGACTACAGAGGCCTGTCACAGGCCCAGTTATTTTTTTTTTTTTCTTTTTACAGTTTTTGGCCAGGGCTGGGCTTAAACCCGCCACCTCTGGCATATGGGGCCAGCGCCCTACTCCTTTGAGCCACAGGTGCTGCCCAGGCCCAGCTATTTCTTTACAGATGATGTCTCACTCTGGCTCAGGCTAGTCCCAAACTCCTAAGCTCAAGCAATCCATCCTCCTCAGTCTCCCAGAGTGATAGGATTACAGGCGTGAGTCACTGCACCTGGCCTCCTTAAGTTTCTTTTATACAAGCTCCACATAGGACTATATACCATATCTGCTTCAATCTACACATACAATTGGGAAAAAACTGATCAGTTTCATAGTTAAATTCTATTTTAGGTTAAATCCATCTGATATATACTCATTCATTTAATGAATATT